TTCCCATCTCCTTCTGACCAAATCGAGCCTTCTGTTGCTGATGATGCCGTCTTAAATTCTTCTTCAGAACCTGCTCCACAGTGAAAGTTTATTTGTGAAGTTTGACTCTTTTTTTTTTCTTTTTTGGTGGAATGTTTGATGGTTTTATCCCTGGTCCCATTTTAGGGGTAATGTTTTTAGTAACAACATATCCCTAGGTCTTTTCGAGGATTTTGTAATGACAATTAAGTTAAAACTAAGTTTATACTTAGTTTTAGCTGAATATTATAAAGTTTTTGTTTCAACTTATTATACCTTCGACTTGAGTTTCTGTTATACTCTTTTAAGGATTTGCCCTTGTCTTGTTTCTTTATAAGTTCAGGGTCTTGCTTAATTTCAATATGCGGGTTTTTGATTTACCCTTTTAACTTTTTGCATTTTAGAAATGCTTAATTAAATTCATGGATTTTTGAAAACATGAATTATAAAAGAGGGCCATTTTTTACACGACACTTAATGAAGAAGATGTCTCAACTTCATAACGGTGTCAACATATGAAAGAAGAAATAGGAATACACATGTTTCTTAGAATAACTTTGATAAGTATTCATTCGAACTTTTGTCAGGCTTAAATAACATCTTACATGTATCTAAATATCTTCTATAACTCTTCCGTAACTTTTTTCTTTACAACAGATTTGAAAAAAAATATCCAAAGGTTACTATGATCCATGACTAAATACTGCCTTTAACCTAAACATTTGTAGGAACTTGAATTTTGTATCCACGATGTATTCATCATAGGTTTTTTGGATCGGGCTTTGTTTTGGATCGTGACTTTGCTCTAAACTTGATATTTGTTGAGTAGACTTTTGGGCTTGACTTGAAATTTAACTGTTTCAGCCTTCTTTGCCTTCCTTATACATATATCATATGTATATTATATAGTCCCCAAGTGTTTGAGCTTTGAAGTATGAAATCTCGAGCACTTGATTGTTCCTTCCATGCGGTCCTTTTCCTCAAAAGGGAAAACACACGGGACTCGGAGGCACAATTTTAGGTGAAGACTGCTTAACCCATTATATTTCCATCAGAATAGTTGTAACCCTAGATCGGGAATTATATTCCTTCCACGTGCCTTTCGGGTCGAAATTCATCATTTAGCGTGGGCTAGATTTTTGCCTATCATTTAAAATCGTTAGTAAAATTTTAACAATTCAAAAACAAAAAAAATCATGAGCGGGGATACCTGACCGTTGGTATTTTCTTCCCTTAGAAATAGTACTTCTTCAGATGAACAACATTCCAATTTGAAGGTAGAATCTTGCCATCCAATGTTTCAAGTACGTATGCACTTTTTTCCTGCGATACCATGAATCTTGCAAGGCCCTTCCCAATTTGGACTTAACTTTCCTGCATTAGCTGCTCTCGTTGATTGGAAAACTTTCTTGAGTACGTAGTCCCCAATCTTGAAGTATCTGAGACGAGCTTTCCGATTGTAATACCGCTCAATAACTTGTTTTTGTGCTGCCATCCTTATTAATGCATTTTCCCTCCTTTTTTCAAGTAAATCCAGGTTTACCCGCATCTCTTCTTCATTCGACTCTTCAGAGCTTGAATATATCTCGTATTTGGCTCCCCTATTTCGACTGTATTTAAATCTTCAGCTCTGTATACCAATGAAATTGGTGTTTCTCCCGTACTTGTTTTTGCCGTTGTACGGTAAGCCTACAAGACTCCAGGTAGTACCTCTGGCCAATTACTGTTTGATTCTTCTAATCTTTCCTTCAAGTTGTTGATGATAAATTTATTTGTTGATTCAGCTTGTCCATTGCCCACCGGATGATAAGGTGTTGAGTTAATCCTTTTTATTTTCCAACTTTGGAAGAATTCTGTGATTTGTGCACCTATAAATTGCGGGCCGTTATCACACACGATCTCCTTGGGTACTCCGAATAGGCATATAATAGTCCGCCAGTTGAAGTCTCTGTCCTCTTTTTCTCGTACCTGTTTGAAGGCTCCTACTTCTACCCACTTAGTAAAATAATCGGTGAGTACTAACAAAAATATTACCTTGCCTTTGGCTTGTGGTAGTGGTCCTACTATATCCATCCCCCACTTCATAAAAGGCCATGGTTCCATAACTGGATGTAATAATTCAGCTGGTCGATTCATGTTGTTGCCATATCTTTGGCATTTGTCACATTTAGCCACAAAAATTTTTCCGCCTATTCTTCCATTTTTTGGCCAGTAAATAGCCAACTCTAATTATGGTTTT